AGCCCTTTTCTCATACAGGCCAAAACATACTGTTATTTTAAAAGGGTAAACAGTTGACTATTTTAGCATGTGGAGCTTGTCTCCTGTTTTGTGCTTTCTAGGTGTCATAGAAACTGCAGTGAAATATTTGGAGGACCAATCATTCTCCATTGCTGCCCTACAAACATAGTATCATAGTAGCATTATACTACTGACCAAAACAGATCATTGATCTGACTCAGTTCAAAAGGCAGCTACACATGTATGTAATAACAACCAAGAGCTTGAAAAAGTAACTTTTGGATAATACAAGTGCAAGCTGCTTGGGGGAATTCTAGGCGCTATAGTCCAAATAAAGTTAACTTCCCCAAGCTCTGGATTTGCACTGTACACATTCACACGAACTACCTTCACTAGCTGCACAGCAAGCACCCTATTTTATATTACATGATAAATGAAACCAGTGCAACTAATCATTTTAATGTCATTAAATCATTAGGTTCCACTTTTATATCAAATTTAATAATTCAAAGTGAAACATTCTTCCATGAAAGCATGATTGGAGTTGAAGCCTTAAAGCCCAACCTTAGGAGCCAATATAAGATGCAGCAGAGCCACCTGCCACTTGTGCCTGGGCAGAAGGCAAGGCAGCTGCCCAACACTGCCCTGCAAACTGAACCAAGTCCTCTGTTGTCCATTACAACAACAATCAATGCTCAGCAACCACTGCCAACTCTTGCACCAAGCCAATCTTCATACTAATTATCTTAATTTTAAATGTTTATCAAAGTTATTTTCAAAAATAACAAAGCTGGCAATTAAATATGAAATGTGAAGTCTGCTGTTCATTTTCATATTCTGATCTGCTGTATCAACCACTTCTAACTCTTGGGACCACATTTTACACGATTTTAGAGAAAATCTGTGGCACCTTTAAGACTAACAACCTTTTAGCATGAGCTTTCACTGATTACAGTCCTTCCTGAGATACACAGCAGAGTACAATATGCAAACCTCATGTATATATGCACACTAACACAGTTGTGGGAGTGCGATCAGAGTGAAATAGGATTCAGAAAAGCAGAAATTTATTAACACTAATCATAAATCTTCAAAAGTTTAAATTTTGCCTGATGCTATCTTTTTGCTGTATTTTTGTATTGAGTAAAATGTGAAGTCCTTCAATATGAACTTAACTACATTCTGTATGAACTCTGGAACTCAAGATAACATATGCTGTGTATTTCTCTTGTGCAATGGGGAGGGGAGTTAAGGGGAGTTTCATGAGCTATTTTCATGTGAGTAGCCTGTTTACAAAATTACCATCTCTCCTAAACAAAACTTAGAAAATTGGGGAGGCTTGCTTTGTGATAGTTTATAATGCTATTTTCTTGTAAATGTTTTAAAAGTGATGTGAAAAATGTAAACAATCTGTGTTTATGTTCAAAATCACAGGTATTTTAATAGCAACAAAGTAAATCAGAATTTTAAAAGTTTACACTAATTTAAGACTATGCTACTCAAATAAAGTATAAATGGACTCTTGCCTAATTTACTTTTAAAGACTGCTCACAGAAAAGGTTTTTGCATTAGATTCCAATTAGGTTCTTTGGCTAAAAGGTTGATTAACTTTTGGACTGCTTTTAGGCAACCCTTGGATATAAAAAGGTTATCTTTCTATTGACTCTGAGGAGATTAACAGTAGTAATGTGTGCATTTTTTGTGTGGCATCTTTAAAATTAAAAGAAGAGAACCGATCTTGCCAATTCTCTTGCTGCTCCCACTCCCAGAAGCTGCCTTGGGGATAATGTGAGCTTTGCCATATTTTGGCTTCATCCTTAACTAGAATTGATTTTTATTTACACAATATCCTGCTTGTCCCCAAAACTGAGACTTGAAGCATACAGAAATTAACATAAACACAGAGAAAAAAAAATACATGTTAAATACAAACATTCAAAAATTTCTTGTTAAAATGTGAACAAGACTTTATTAAATTTTTAGTGTACACTAATGCAGTGGTTTTGTCCATTGTACCACAGTGTGCATACATTTCCAAAGCAAACACTTTACTACTATGGTGCAATTCAGTGAGGGCAACACTGGACTTTTACCCTGAAAAATAACCTCCTCAGATATCTGGCATAAAGACTGTTGGATTAATACTGACAGTGACCAGTTAGAAAACTCTAGCAGCATGGCTGGGCCAGATACTCATCCAAGAAAGATGCAACATACTTATTTATTATCATCACACAACCACATCAGAATTCTTTACCTTTTTTCCTATCACAGAGGCATCTTTCAAAAAGCATTTCTGATGTTGACATATCATCTTGTAATGCAATAGTGAACGAATATGTTTCCCCAAAGTTGGTTGCTCTGATAGCAAACTATAAAACACCTGCAATATTCATTCCCAAGTTCAATAATATTGTCTCCTCCAAGTTTTACTTTCTAATGTTTTCGGCATATCCTAGCTCATTCATGTACCAACATAGTGCCTGACCTAATGGAGCAGGGCTGGACAACTGCATGGGGGCAAATGATCAGGCCCATGGATTGCACTGGCATGTACTATCAATTCTGGTGTGCCATCTGGTTTTTTTGGGGGGGGGGGTTGCAAGGTTTGAAGGGCTGCATTTAATAGATTATTAAATGCACTAAACAGTTGCATTTGTGGGTAGTTTGGGAACAAAAATTCATCTGACAAATCACCCCATTTTTTTCTAAATGGAGGAACTGGGGGTTTCTTGGGGGCCTGCAAATGGGATTTAGGGTCCACATGCAATATGGGAGTGACACATTCCCCACCCCTAATTTCACTAGAATGTGAAAACTTTTTTCAGGCAATGTGAATTTTAGCAGTGCTTTCCACTGGTACCAGGTCTACTTATCTCCTTGTTCAAGGGAGAGATCAACAAAAATGCAGCAAGAAGAAACAGGAGAGTAGATAAGAATGGAGACCACAGGTATGAACTGCCCATATCAAATGAAGGTGAGAAGTTAACCAGTATAGTTACTTTCAAATTACAGCCCTTTAGTTTATTAAAGTTTTGTTTTTGCAATATATCAGCACTTACAACACACTGCCAGCCACATGGCATTTTAATTTGGGAATAAAATATTGCAGACTAGCAGGAGGCAACAGAATTGGGGCATATCCCTTGAACAGAACAAGGTAAAAAAAAAAAAAGGAAGAAATAGGTGCTCCTGTAACTGGAACCATTAATTTTATTTACTGAAAGTATTTCTTAGCCATCTTTCTAAGGCAGGTTGACATTTCAAGATAAAATTCAATACTATATTTCTTCATGGTTGTATATATGGAAGCAAGTGACAGAAGGTTCCTGTTACTACTTAGAATGGAAAAGGGAACTGCCACCACCAGCAGAATACTTGAACATGTGCTATGAAACTGGCTTAAGGAAGGTACCATTAAGTCAAGAGCTCAGTTCATATGCATCAGGCATTTTGTGGATCCACTGTTCTAAAAGTTTACAAAGTACATACATCTTATGATCATTTTGCCTAAGCTACCTAGTTTCCGAAGAAAGCTTTCCATTTCTCAGAAAGATACTGCTGCAACATGGAGAAGGAATAGCTGAGGTGTAAAGAGAAAGAGAACATTCAGAAAGTAGTACAGGAAGCTATTGCCTACTCAATCTCTATCCTCACGATTCTACAAAAACTGTTTGCAAACAGCAGATGGAAATTGTCAACAGATGAAAATAGTCCAGGCTTCTCGACATGAAGCAAAGTCCCCAAGGTCTTGTTCGGCTGCATGGTGGTGCTTTCTTCTCCAGATAGAATTATCCAGTGGAAACCTTCAGACCAACATTATACAGAAACCTACTCAAGTTAGTCAAGCGTTACCTTTCCCAGAAGTCCCTTACGGAAAGAATGGATAAACTCACATGCTGCTGCATTGTAGTTGGGTGATGTCACTATCACATCTCCTGCCAAAAAATAAAAGGAAAAGATTTGGCCACAAGACTATGCTCCCCATCATTATGACTGACAGCATCCCAAACCCAACTTCACACACACACACACACACACACCCCACAACCTGCAGAAGGAAGATAATAATTTGTGAGCACATAATTATTTTTAATATCTTTGACTACTATAGGGACACTAAATGGATTTTTCTTAGGGGTCTCTGATTTAGAAAGCCATTTGGCAAGTAACAACAAACAATTCAGTGATATTATCACCCATATTAATATCACTGAATTGTTTGTTGTTACTTGCCAAATGGTTTTCTGAATGAGAGACCCCCTAAGATGGCTAGCAAATGCCCTGCTCAGGCATTGCAAACTCAGACCCATGGCTCCTTTTATTAAATCAGTTTTATTAAATGTAATGAGGCCTCTCTTTTCCTACTGCCTTCAACTTTCCCCAGCATTACAATCTTTTCCAATACATCATGCTATATCATGATATGTCCAAGTAGGATGGCCTCAGTTTAGTCATTTTGGCTTCTAGTTGAAAATTCAGGCTTGATATGCTCTAGGGCCCATTTTTTGCCTTTATCACAGTCCATGGCATGCATAGAACTCTCCTTCAGTACTACATTTCAACTGGGTTGATTCTCTTCCTGTCAGCATTATTCACTTCCAACTCAGAAATACTATGGACTGGATGCTACTGACTTTGGTACTTAATCTGGAGTCTTAGGGCCAATGCAGATGGCCTGGGAGCGGCGGATCAGACAACACACACTGCAGCCCCGATCCTCCTTTTTGCCACCCCAAAAAGAGTGGCCAAATGCCGCTCCTTTTTGGGGCGGCAAAAAACCACCCTTAGAGCCAGAGTAGTGGTTCTTTTGCACCCCTTTGGTGCAGTGTGTGTGCATGCTGCGCCAACGGGGCGCCCTGATGCCGTGCCCCGTGCGGTTGGGCGCATGGCATCAGGGCAGTCGGGGCGGCCGGCGTGCAGTTACCCCACCCCAGCTCCACCCCCAGATTGGCTCTTTAGGCCAGTCTGCATCGGCTCTTAATGATCTTAAGTAAGGGGCCAGTGTGGCGTAGTGGTTTGAGTGTCAGACTATGACTCCGGAGACAAGGGTTTGATTCCCAGCTCAGCCACAAAATCCACTGGGTGACCTTGGGCAAGTCACATGCTCTCAGCCTAAGGGGAAAGCAATGACAAAACTCCTCTGTACAAATCTTGCCATGAAAACCGCATGATAGGTTCACCCTGGGGATGCTACAAGTCAGAAACAACAAACATACTGATAGGTCTTTACTCTTCAGGATCTTAGCTCCTTCATAGTTGCCTTTCCAAAGACTTAGTCTTCTTCTGATTCCTTTAGTCTACATTAATAACTGAACTGAAGTACTGAAAATTTATACCTATTTCTGTCTTCATCACCCACTTGTTATGTAAATAATCTGTAGTCATTATTTTTATTTTTGTAATAAGTCATCTGTAGACCTGCTTTTGTGCTTTCTTCTGTAATTTTCATTAGTAGCAATTCCAAGTCTTTGCTATTTTCTGCTAGTACCACGGTGTCATCTGCATATCTTAAAACAGTGGATGTTCCTCCCCCCCCCTATTTTCATGCTGCCTTCCTCTGAGTCTAATCCCACTTTTCATACAACATATCTGTGCACACATTAAACAGAGAGCCATCGTGGTATAGTGGTTTGAGTGTTGGACCACAGTACAAATCCCCACTTAGCCATGGAAACCCACTGGGTGACCTTGGATAAGTCACACTCTCTCAGCCTCAGATGAAGGCAAAGGCAAACCCCTCAGAACAAATCTTGCCAAAAAATGCCATGAAATGTTCACCTTAGGGTCATTGTATGTTGGAAATGATTTGAAAATGCATAATAAGTTAAACAGATAGGATGACGATATGTAGCCTTGTGCTATCCTTTTGTCAACTGTAAACCATTTCTGTTTCTCCACATTCTGTCCTGACAGTGGCCTCTTGTCCAGAAAGGACAAGAATCACTGAATTTCTAGTTTATTATTCTGCCCCTTTCCACTCTGACCCACAGAATGTCCAGGCAAATGTATGAACAGAGTACAACATAGAGCATCTCAATAATATCCTAGAAGCACTGGAACAGCGCAAGCATGCCCACTAATAATGGGGACCGAACAGAACTTACCCGTTCCTGTCAGCACTTTGACTCGATGTGTTTTGCCAAGATGTATTGCAATACTTTTGAGTACCATCTCCACATTATCACAGGGATTGGGCAGTCCATAGCGTTCTACATAACTGCATAGCAGGGTACAAATGGGTAGCAAGAGTTTTTAAAAGTCAACGGAGTTTCCCACTTGAGACACAACATCTAGCCCCAACCCAGACGTCATTATCTCACCTGAATTGCTGATGATGATTCAGTGTGTAAAGCAAGTAATTAGCAATAACCTCTTCACCTACCAGATGATCCTTAATTGCTCCTGGGTGAAAAAATTGTCATACTGTTAGGAGCACGCAAAACATAAAGCTATTTCATCCTTCTTGACTTGGCAGAATGACTACAGATGGGGCTTATATATGCTAAAAAAAATCTCCAATGAGCTCTAACCATAAAACAATCACAAGTAGTCTGTAAGCCATCTCTTGTAAGTGACTGGGGAAAGATGCACAGCAGTGCCAGAAATACCAAATGTAGGATTCACTACAAACATGTATAATATTGCCTATCCGGTAAGTTTCCCATTGACAAAGGTCAGGACAAAGAGAACATTATGCAGAACTCTAGGGAAGGAATTCATATAGGAAGATGCATTTACAGAACCCAGGACCATTGGGTAAAGACAGCTGCATGTTTGCCAATTTTTCTGTTTCACTGGTAACAGATCCTATGTGGCTGGCTCCATTTACTTTCTGTGGTCTTCCCTGCTCAGTCAGCAAGGTTGCTTTGATTTTGCAGCAGCCCCAGAAGAGTACACTGTCAGTAGCATATATTCACAGAGTCCTCTCACCACATAGTGCCAGTTTCAGCCCAGTCTCCACACACTCAATTTGAGGAGATAGTACCCCAGGCGTATCCAGTAAGAACATGAGGGGTCGTTCACACACCTAAAACAAAAAGAGTTCAGAATCAATTTTCATAATCCCCAAAACTGACACACAGTATTATGGGAAGAGGTGTTCTAATTTCATTATCATCTAAAAAGGAAGTGACCAGCTAACTTAGACAGTTCAAGAACCAAATTTATAGTGAACAGTGTTACACTTCAGGTAAAATTAGGGTTCAAATCCTTGCCTGACCAAAAGTTGAATGGAATCAACTCTGTGATTTTGGGGGGGGGGGAAGAGTCAAGAAAAAGGAGGATTAAAAAGATGTAGGAAATCTTGTGTGTCATGATCCAGGAATCATTAAGTTCAGAAATCCAGGCTTCATTGGAAAAACTCAGAAAACCTTTCTTTGGTAACTAGAGATGTACATTAGAGAGTTTGTTGTCAGAACTAAACAGCAGGTGTTAGCAAAGGAAATATTTCTCATTCACTACCTAAATAAAACATTATTGTTTTGCCTTGTTCCCAGGATGCCCATTTCTCTCCCCCTCTACCAGCTTTCCCAGGAAAGTGACCTTAGAATTTCCAGAGACAGATTCACTCCCTCAGTAACTCCCTCACTGCTCATTAACTATGAAGGAATGTGATCAACATTTTTACTAACTTACATCCCACTATATGTCCCATCACTGCCCACAATGCAGAATAACATATTAACACCAGTAAATAACAAGCAAATGCAAAACAGGCAAGCATTATAATGTGGCTCCTGACACTGTGTCTACTGACTTAGGGAAATGTGGTGCTAAGAAGAAAGATAGAGAACTTTCTTACATGAAGGGGTTAGATTTTTCAGGGAGCAAGCAGTAAAACAATTAAGCTTTACCATTTAAGGCGAAACAAAGGCAGCTACAGGAAAGCCCAATATCTCAGCAGCAGAATATAAGGGTTTTGCTGGATTAGCAAGGCAGAAAGAACTCTTCCATTTTTGTTCCCTAGCAGCAGGTATTATCCCAGAAACTTGACAGCTATATATTATCATCATGACCAATAGCCATTGATAAATTTATTTTCCATGAATTTGTCTAATTTGATGTTATATCTCATTATAGTCAGTGTTATAAATTAATGATTGGTTGAGAACAGTATTTCCTTTTGTCTGTTGTGAATCCTCTGACAATCAGTTTAAGTGGATGATTTTAAGTTGCAGTAGTATGAGGGAGGGACAAAAATTAATATCCATTCTACTTTTTCCTTCCAAAAAAAAAAAAAAAAAAAAGGGGGGGGGAACAAAAACTATGAATGTAGGGTTTTTCTCCCTCATATGGAATGTGCTTCATCTCTCCCCCAATTATTTAATTTACTCTTCTCCAGCTTCCTAATGCATGTTTTCAGATGGGACAACCAGGATTGTGTACAATATCTAAAGCAGGGGCTGGCAACCTACGGCCCGAAGGCCGCTTCCGGCCCAGGGCCCCGCACTTACCGGCCCAGGCGGACCCCTGCTGCTGTCGCCGCCGCATGCCACCGCCGCAGCGCGTTTTGGATGCCGCCATTTTGATTTCCAAAATGGCGGCTGTGACATGCGTAGAGGCGGCTACGGCAGCACTTGCAGCGCCGGTGGCAGCGCGCGCATGGGGGGGTCGTGTGCGGTGGCGGGGGTCGCGCATGCGCATGAGCGCACATGCCGCCATTCCCTCCCCCGGCCCACCGAAAGGGACAACTTCGTGGGACCAGCCCCCAGCTCAAAAAGGTTGCCTACCCCTGATCTAAAGTGTAAGCACACCATAGACTGCATAAGGCAATTACAATATTAGCAATTTATGTTTAATTAATTTCCCCAATAATCCCTAGCACAAAACCATTTTTTCAGTGCTATCACACAGAGTCAATTTCTTTACTGAGACATCTCTGAAGAGCCCAGGTCCTCTTTTCTGGTTACAAGAGGGTATATAACCCTAGCCTCTGTTTAATACAGGGAGTATTCTTGGGGAATATAAGGGGCCAGAGGAAAAAATGTCTCCAGACTCTATTCAAACATTCTTTCACATGGTTAAAAACAGATAAGGGCACAAGCAGTGCACTGGCTAGGCCCACTCCCTCTATCAGGAGTAGGCAACCTTTTTGAGCCTGGGGCCGGGTTGCTGTCCCTCATACAATTGGAGGGCCGAAGCACCATAAATAAATAAATAAATAAATAAATAAATAAATATTTTTAAAATTAAAAAATTTTAAAAATATGCATGCACACTCTCTCAGCCCCAGAAAAGCCATGGCAAAACCCCTGTGGAGATTTTGCCAAGAAAACCCCAAGAACAAGTAATAACAACAATAATCAATATCATGGCGGGCGGCGGCAGGACCGGCCTTGGGCCGGTCGAAAGGCCTAGGGGGGCCGCATCCGGCCCCCGGGCCTTAGGTTGCCTATCCCTGCCCTCTATCTTGTCACTCTGCCCATTTCTACAGCCTTCCACCCTCAGAGAAATAGAAAAATATAAAACAGCTTGAAATGGTCACTCGGGCCACTGTCAGTCTTGCCTACCTCAAAGACTATTGTGGAGATACAACTTCATGTAATTTACCATGAACTTCCTGGAGGAAGGATAGGACACTGATGTGCTAGCTAACCAAGCATAGCCTGAGACATTGTTTTAGACACTGCATTTCACAAATCATGTTGCATCCTTCCTGAAAACAGGCACAAGAAAAGTAATAGTCTGCTTCATCATCTCAGGTTCTAGTAATCTCAAATTGATTGTTTTCTGTAATTCAGTCATTCAGGATTATAATACATTCAATACAGTTATTCAGGATTTTAATACATCTTTTTTAAAATTTTATTTATAACCTTTATAACAAATAAAACATCTGTGATTTCGGTACTGCTTCATGTGGCTTACATTTCAGTAGGTATGCATTTTTCTAAGGATTGTGATGGAAAGAGGATATCTATGATTTTAAAAATTTCTATGATTTTAAAAATAATTCCATGTTCTTTCTTGTGGCTGCATAAAAATGCACAATACTGAACTGTGCTTACAAGTGCACTTTACTTCTGTGAAGGCATGCCTAGCCATGATCAAGGAAAATATTTCCCAAAAA